AGAGTATTCAGGTCGTAGGGTGAAGGCACTGACAATGACCATTCATTCCCATTTATCCGCGCAAATCAGAGAGGCTCAGCTGGAAGCCTTAAAACCAGAGAACATGTCGGATGAAGCCTTGAGAGGAATGGAAAAGAACTTAGAGGTCAAGGGAGACGGAGTTTACTATTTCATGGACTGGATCTAGACCCCAAAGTACGGCGGTTTCAGGGAGGTTTGCATGAACGAAGCTCACAAGACTAGATAATCCGTTCACCTAGGTTCGGATAAGATGTATCTGGATCTCAAGCAACTCTATTGGTGGCCGAACATTAAAGCAGAGATCGCTACCTTCGTGGGCAAGTGCCTGACTTGCGCCAAGGTGAAGGTGGAATATCAAAAGCCCTCAGGTCTACTCCAGCAGCCATAAATACCTGAGTGGAAGTGGGAAAGGATTACGATAGATTTCATCACTAAGTTGCCCAAGTCTCCGAGTGGGCACGACGCCATCTGGGTAATTGTCGATCGACTAACTAAATCCGCCCACTTCCTGCCAATCAAAGAAAACTTCAAAACGGAGAGACTGACACGAATCTACATTCGAGAAATAGTTCGCCTTCATGGTGTGCCTGTATCCATTATCTCCGATCGAGATAGCAGGTTTACCTCCAGATTTTGGCAGTCACTACAGAAGGCTCTGGGAACTAAGCTGGATATGAGCACAGCTTACCATCCACAGACAGATGGGCAGAGTGAAAGAACCATTCAAACATTGGAAGACATGTTGAGAGCCTGCATCATCGACTTCGGCATGTCGTGGGACACTCATTTACCCTTGGTCGAATTTTTCTACAACAACAGCTACCATACCAGCATCAAGGTTGCACCGTTCGAAGCCCTCTATGGCCGTAAGTGCAGATCCCCTCTGTGCTGGGCTGAGGTGGGTGACACGCAGCTAGTCAAAGGTCAAGTCCCTGATAGCACCCACACAGGCCCAGAAATCATCCGAGAGACTACTGAAAAGATCATACAAATCCGGGAACGACTAAAGGCTTCAAGAGATGGACAAAAGAGCTACGCCGAAAAGAGACGAAAACCCTTGGAGTTCCAGGTTGGTGATCGTGTCCTTTTGAAGGTCTCACCCTGGAAAGGCATGATACGCTTCGGAAAGCGTGGAAAGCTGAATCCGAGATACATAGGACCATTCGAGATCCTCGCTAGGATCGGTCCCGTAGCATACAAACTTCACCTACCACAAGAACTTAGCAACGTACATCCCGTCTTCCACGTGTCGAACCTAAAGAAGTGTATGTCCGATGAGACACTTGTGATACCTCTCGAGGATATCGAACTAGACGAGAGCTTACATTTCGTGGAAGAACCAGTCGAAATCATGGACCAGGAAGTCAAACGAACGAAACAAATTTGTATCCCGATAGTGAAGGTTCGCTGGAATGCCAAGCGAGGACCTGAATTCACTTGGGAGCGCGAAGATTCAATGAAACAGAAGTACCCTCATCTATTTCCGAGTCCATGATTTGTATTCTGTGTCTGAATTTCGAGACGAAATTCCCTCTAACGGGGGGATGATGTGACAACCCGAACCCTTTTCTAGTTTCCGTTAATTAATTTTCGTTAATAAAATTTTATTTTATTGGGCTCCGTCAACTTCCTTCGGTTTGGAAAATCATTTAATTATATATTTTGAGTTCTATATTCGAGTCAGAACCAAAACCACGCGAAATTTCGGGAATTCCTTCGAACAAGACCGAGTTCATGGCCTGACTTGAGTTCACGGCCGTACACTCGTTTACGGCCAATGTCGGGTGGACCCCACCACCGACCAACGAAAACCCCTATAAATACGAGACCCAACCCCCCTCATTTACACTTTTCTGACCGGACACTCTCTCCTTTTCTCTCTAGACTATCGACCATACACCTTCAAGTTCATTGACCGCACACCAGTCTACGGCCGTACACCTTCAAAGGCCGTACACCATCCAAGAGCTGGTTCACGGCCGTACACCTTGTATACGGCCGTACACCTGTCCACGGTTGTACACCCTAGTTCACGGCCATACACACTTCCTAAGTGGTGCATTAGACTGAAAACCTACTTCCCTCGATTCAATCAAGTCCCGGTAACATTCCTTAACCGAAAGCAAGTGTTTTTCTAACACTTTATCTAACGAAATCGCTAATTAGATACATATATGTATTTAATGGTTATTAGGATTTCGTTAAAGTACCACACTACAACTCGACGGTCTTCATTCATGTTCGTTGATTTGACGGTTGCACACGCTAACAGTGAGTTCCTACCCCTATGTCTTTACTGTTTTTAAACGTTTTTCGGGGGGGGGGGGGGGGGAATACAAGCCAAACATAAATGATTTTGTGAAAATTATACAAAAAGGATTTCATTAAACTTAAAACAGATGCAATCGATACAATCATACAGTTTCTATACTTTATAAAATATGTAGATATTTTATCCCTTCTGTATTATGCAGAGCATAAGGGAAGTTTTCATCATAATCACAGAGCTTTCAATGTAAAACATGAATTGAATACATGAATGAACATATAAACTATAATAGGTATAGTTTGTGGAACAATTAACATATCAATGTACAAATCATAGATTCAATGCAACCAGACATATAAACTATAATAGGTATAGTTTATGGAACAATTAACATATCAATTTACAAATCATAGATTCAATGCAACCAGACATATAAACTATATAATGTGTAGTTTATGAGATATATAGAGAACAAGTTAAATTCAATGGATTCATTTTATTCTACATGTAATCGTTAGTATAGCATTTTATGAGTAAGCATTCTTCGCGTACTTATTCAAGTACTAACAAAAGCCCTGAGATTATAACCAAAGTCTCCTGGAGGGAGAACGTGAGTTTGTGTATAGATCTATACGGGATTGACAATTCCACACCATAACTGCTAGCTACAGTTAGGCCGGCATGCCTGGGTGACAAAGTCATTTCGATTCTGACGCCTGAAGAACGTCGTTCAGGCAATTCAATGGTCAAGTATGGTTATAACAACTCATTAATTTGGTACTAAGTATATACGATTAATGTACTAATGGTAATAACTTCAATTAGTTTTATTATAAAGTAATAGAACTACTATACATATTACAGTTTTCAGAATTTTCCGAACTTACTATACATACTAGTGATAATCAGAGTTTTTCATGCAAACAGAGGTTTCTTATTCAATCAAACAATGCACAATACATTCAATGAGATTCAGTAACAAAATACACATGTTAGAAGATAATGGATTTTCTTGGAAGTATACAAATATATTTGTTGATTCGTTAACCGAATTTCCTCTCAAAAACATGCTTATGAACTCACCGGCTTTATGCTGATACTCTTTCAAAACTGCTTGTATTCTCAGGAAATCAGTAGACAGGTACCTCCTGGTGTTTTGAGAAGACGAAGCGTATAGAGTCTCGTCTTTTACTTTTGTCATACTTTTGATGTCTATATACATGAATCAAACTGATGTAAACATTTTTTTACTTAATTAATGTAATGGTTATGTTTACTTTGATTACTGTAATGCAATGGTTGTGATACTATACATGACGTCATCCACCCCCGAACGTTTCCGTCGTTCCGGTTTGGGGGTGTGACACATTCTCAACCAAAACTACACCAATTGACTACTCACACTCCCGTCAATGGCGACAATGTTAGATATAGGGTTTTCTAACCACCAGATCCACCGCTAGATCTTTTCAGGTAGTGCAAGCTTGAAGCTTCGATGTTATAAGGTTGTGCATAGGTTTTGGAAGGCAACAAATAGAGGAACTGGCCAGGTAGTATGATTTTGTGGCGTAAGGTGGTAAAAGCCAACAAATGGAGGAACTGACACGGGTGTTTGGGTTGGACTTCTTGGTGGTTCAAATAGTGATGGTTCTAGTGGAAAACGATCGGCTTAGTGGCAAATATAAAGGATTCTGACGGATTGTGAAGAGGTTGTCGCAGGTGGCTACTGGATAGCGGCGTTGGGTGAAACATGTTTGTAGTGTTTCCGTCGGACCTCCGAAGAAGGTGATTAGCGGTGGTCGCGACGATTTTCGACAATAGGATGCAGTGCTTTTGCGTATTCTGAAGACTTTGTGGTAGAACTAAAAAATTAAAAAGAATTAATATTATACATTTAAAAAAAATTAATGATCCATTAAAATATTTTTTATTATATATAGAATATAAAAAATTAAATGTAATAATCTAATAAAAAAATCTAATAATTTTTTTTTAAAAAAATAATCCAATAAAAAAATTTAAAAATAGTTAAATAATATAATAATATAATATTTATTAATATATAAATATTATATATTAAAAATATAATTAACTGATATACAATAATCATATAAAAAAATTAATCCAATAAAATTAAAATTAACAAAAAAGTAATGTATAATAGTTTAATAAAATTAAAAAGAAAGAAGAATTAATATATAATAATTCAATAAATTTAAAAAGAAGAATTGCAGAATTGGTCCTTCTAATTTGATAAAAAGAGATAACTGCAAAAATGGTCCCTGAGGGTAAAATTGTCATTTTAAAAAGGTTAACAGTCAAATGTTAAATTAACAAAATAGGGACCAAAACCAAAACTAAACCACCAAATAAGGACATTTTTTGCTAATAAACGTTTTTTTTTTTTACCTTAACCAAAGAAATTGGCAAACCACAAAACCATTTTTATAATTTTGTCAAAAATAAATAAATAAATAAAAACTTATTTATAACATTTATTATGCCTCATTCATCTTCATAATTGGCATTCTATGACAACACGCTCTGTATATCTTCTTCTCCATGTTTTTTATAACCAAAATACCTATGAAACTCTGAGCTTCTCTGACACAAAAATTCTTATTGTTCTTCAACTTTTACAAGAGAAAAATCATTGAACAAAACCTATGCATAATCTTTCTATCTTCCAATACCAAACAAAGAAATCGCCATGGACATCTTCTCTACTGAGAACTTAAGCTTCAGTCCAACTGCAGCTACTCCTCGAATCTCGTTCTCACATAATATCGATAACTCATCCATTGAAAGCTACCCATACCGATCCAACTCCAGTCCAGATTTCGACTTTTGCTTTACCAGTGTTTCCATCCAAAATGAAGCTTCTTCTGCTGATGAACTTTTTAGCAATGGCTTAATCCGTCGCTATAACAGTGAAGAGAATATCTTGCTCGACAAGAATTCTTCTGCTTTGAAACATGTTACTTCAGCCACAACTAATCAGTCACGGATGGAAGAAAAGCCGAAAGAGTTTATTTTTGTAGAAGGGTGTGAAGGAAACCACTCGAAATCTTTTTGGAGGATCAAGAGAAGTAGCAGTCTTCATTGTGAGAGCACGAAACCGAAGAGTTCATTTTGGTCATCACTGCCACTTCTATCTCGAAGTAACTCAACTGGGTCTGTAATGAAAGACCGTCAGAAAAAGCAGAATACCTCCCAAAAGCAAAGCAATAAGAACTCGTCAATGGCTGTTGTGAGTAATAATAATGGTTATTCGTCAATGAAGCCGCCATTGAAGAGGAACTATGGAGGAGGATATGACTTTGGGATTCGAGTCAGTCCAATTCTTAATGTGCCACCTCCTTTCATTTCCAAAAGTGTTGCGAATATCTTGGGATTAGGTTCTTTGTTTCGTCATGACAATGATCACAAGACCAAGAAATGATTATGGTAAATCCCCTTTCCATAACTACAAATAAACCCAGTAAGTATGCTTGTTTAAGCATTAATGAAGTAAGATCACAAATTCATTTATAAGTATATATATTAATCTCTCTTCCTATCGGAAGAGATTATGATTTATCTCATATTAGTTTTATTACTAGTTAGTCTGCAGGCATATAAATGATCTTGAACCAGTTTATCATATGATCCAAACCAACCTATTTTTATGTAATAAAAATTACCAAAGTAAAACCATATAATCTTAATATATTACCATTTATGGCATAAAACCTAAACCAAACGTGACAGTAGAGTACTTTATAGGATTTTAATTTGTTAAACATTACGTAAAATATGTTGGATCTTGACCGATTTAAATAACATTTAAAATTTTCCATTATGAGGTTATAAAACAGCCTATACGTTCTATTATTATTTTTTAATGTCGACAGTTATTTGGGTTTATAAATTATATAAACATGTTTAAACTTATGTAAACTTTCAAATTTAAATAAGTCAAACACTAATTAGTTCTTTTAATAAGTCATGCTCGATGTTGGGTCGGTTGAAACTTGATCATTTAAATTGTTTAATTAAACGGATAAACTAGAACCAACCCATACAAGCTATAGCTCTGGGCGCATGTACACTGCCCCACCAGCTCGGTATGCGAGTTCGACTGTCCCAATCGGCATAATTATGACACCTTTTCTCTGGTCTACACAAAATGAACGAAACACAAACAAACAAAGTAGTAACGCTCTAACGGAGTTTGACGCTTTGCTCGATACTTTGAAATGCAAATCGGCAAAATAATTGAAAATGATACAATCATCGTATACCAAACTCTTAAAATAATAAAGTATTTTACTAATCTATTATCAAAATCATTTTCAATACACGTCGTATTTTCTGGCACTATTTTAAAATTATTAATAATAAAGTATCGAATGTGATATGACATTATTAAACAACACTATTTTTTTTATCAAATGATGATATTTACAAGATAGCTAAAAATTTTGGTGATTTATGTTTTTTTTTTTTTTGAACGGCAACCGGATATACTAGCATAAAAAGGGCTTAAACGAAAAGTTGAAGTCAACTACAAGAAAAGTTTGATAAAGGTGACATACAACATAAAACCAATCAATATTACAAAATTTAGACATGTTGTTAATTCAATTGAAATGTTAATGCTAATATTATCGGCCAAAAACATAACTGATCGCCTTTTAGTGTCTTAATCCAATTGAAAGTTTTCCTTACATACTTATATTTTAATTAACTAAATTCATATTACATGCGATGAAGAAAATATACCACTTTCAGTGTCTAAATTAAATGAGTATATATAATTTTTTCTAAACATGTTGAAAGTATAACTTTTGTTATTTAATAGAATGTTGTTTTAAATAAAAATATATTCTAATTGGGAATTTATGGACTTATCATTTCCTTCCGTTAAAATTGTATATTAAGTTGTTATAAAAATATAAAATATATGAGGATAATAAGTGTGAGGATATTACTAAAATTATAATAATAAAAACAAAGTAACATAGTCACAGTATTTTGTTTTTTTATGTAAAAGGTAGTGGATTGTATCGAAGATGAATTATTGTTTATATCTTTTTTATACCAAACTAGTGCAATATATATAATCGAGATGCCCTACGTATAACCAATGTGCACATTTATAAGCGTGAACATGTAATTTTGGTGCCACACTTTTGAGTTTTGAATGTATAAAAAGTGTTTGTAATTAAAGTGTGGAGAATAGACGATTTGTATTATTTAAAAACGTGAAGACTTGAAAGCTACTTGTCAGTTGTCACCAAGGTTCTAAATAACGTAAGGCGTGACTTGGCGGCAATGTCAAAACCTCAAGCTTTTCCGAGCCTTGGCGAGTCACGTCGTTTGTAAGGCGTGACTTAAGGCGGCAATTTTGTATATAATTCATATTTTTATATGTATTTTCAACTATTATTTATTTTTATACACATATATGAGTCAAGGCGGCGTTTTGGTAAAGCTTGGCGGCACATACAAGCCTTGGAGCCATGGCGCGCCATGGCGGAGCCATGACGAACTTTTTAGAACCTTGGTTGTCACACGTAATTTCTCCATGAAACAATTTCTATATAGTTTAAAATTTATGAATCTGACTATAAAATGGTTAAATAACAAAAATAATCTAAAAGGAAGGGTTGAGTTTTTAAACCATATACCAAATTATGTATATGGAAAGAGACAGGATTTTAAAATAATAATGTTTTAGATCGTAATTTTTTTTTATAAATATATAAATATATTAATACAAACGATATGTTAATTAATACATCTTAGTTATTATCGTACAACAAATGAGAAGACAAACGGACAATAAGTTGTGTCGTTAAGCTTTTTTGTATGATAAAGTCAATTCTTTTGAAAACTATATCCATAGATCTAGGGGATATAAATTGTTATGCATGATCGTTATAAAATATTAAAATATTAAAAAGCTTACAACGTAGTAAGATGTAAAAAAAAAATTAGTTTTTCATATTTTTTAAGTTATCCACTGATATGTAATAATTTGGGTCAATATGTTAGAATAACCAAGTTTCAATATATCCTTTGCGACATGGTGCATACTAAAAAAACCGTCAAAGTAAGGTTGTACCTTTACTCAATGTCATGATCCTTAAGGTAGCGTTTGGTACAAGAACAGAACTGGACAGGATTGGACTAAACGGGATGGAACAGAACTGAACTGGACTAAACTAATAGATTTGTATAGTGTTTGGCAAAGCTAGGACTCGACGGAACAAAATTGTAAAATTACTAAATTATCCGGAAATTTATCAAAATTTTCATAAACCGTTTCTAACTTGTTTTATAGTATAATGCTTACAACCTACGTTTTAATAACCTTATTGAAAGTTACTCGTATGTGTATTAGATTGGAATTTGGAATTGCTTTTGCTTTGGCGGTTGTTTTGGATAAGATGTACAAATCATTGATTTTATAAAGAAAAAAGATGAAGAAAAATTAAGATAGTTCTTGGAAGATGCATCACCAATAAATTTAAAATATAATATATAAAGAGAAAATTATTACCAACGAAATAATTTGTTGTTGTACTCACTGTTATAAACGATTCCTTTTTTCTTCTTGAAACCTTTTTGAAGAAACAATAGAAAATTGTAAGAGGCGATAGAAAAATGTTAACAGGAAAAAAAAATGTATAGGAAGAAAGTCAGAAACGATGAACGAGGAAGAGAAGATTGGACATTTTTGTTAAATATTTTTTGTCCCACCGTGTTCCATCTTTTTAAGTGGGACTAAGTTTTTTAGAATTTGTCCCATTTGACTTAATCAATAACCTCTTTTGTTCTTGTTCCATCCATGCCCAACATTCTTCGAAATTTTTTGTTCCGTTCAGTCCAGTTCTGTTCCATCTACCAAACGCTACCTAAAGGATTATCATGCAAATTTTACATGTTGGAGAAGCAGATGCTGTCATGTTATTCAATATTTTATTTGCCACCACTAATTTGGTAACGATAGTTGTTCATAAAAGCTCTAAGGCTTAATAATTCAAGGACACGTCTAGTTTTGTCCATCACCTTTGACAACCAACCGCCAAGTCTCATCGTTTGAATCATCTAAATGGTTGTTTCTTTTGTTTATAGGGTTATTTGATATACCTTTTATTAGGTCTGGTAAGAGGACGAGTCTGATTTAATCAGATTTAGATTGTTTGATACCACAATTAGAAGTCTTTGATTCGGTCTTAAATTATTTGATATGCCTTTTACTAAGTGAGATAAAATGTTAGATTTAACTCAATTAGATCTGACTCAATCAGTAACTGTATATCAAACAACCTTTAGTCGATTTCTTGGTTGAATATATCTGGCTGGATCAAAATTTAATATATAAAGAATATAAATCAAGGACTTTTGCATTCACGTTAAAATAAATTTGATCAATCTTTCACTATTGTCGTTACTTTTCTCTTTTTTTTTTTGTTCCAAAGCTCCAACAATAAATATGTTATGTTTGGATTGTAGGAATTTATATGGTAGTTAGGTCTTATGATTAATTATATAAATCTACTAGGTGTAAGATCCGTGTAGTACACGAGTTTATTAAAAATAAAAGCTTAATACAAAGTTGAAAACATTACGTATTTTTTAAAGTAATAATTTTATATAAATAAAAAGGATATAATAATGAATAAAGTAAGTAATTCAATATATACTAATAAAAAAACATTGACATATTCTAAAAAATGATTTTGAAAATTAAAGTGTAAACATTAAACATTTTTTTAAAATAAACTTTTGAAATAAATACAAACGAAATGATAATAAATAAGTAGTTGAATGTATACTAATAAAAAAATTATTGACATATTAACATGGTGGACATAACATTGAATTTTCTTTTATCTAAATATAATTGTATATGTTTGCGTTTGTCTTTAAAGTCGTTTGAATCCATATTATGTTTTGATCTTTAAAACAATAATAAATCCTAAATAAAATCATGAGGAAAAAATATTATCAATTTTAAAAGTTAAATTATTAAAATGGAGACATTATAAGATTAAATGTGTAGCTATATAAAAATATTGTTAATCACTACACATTTTACATGTCTTGAGTTTAATAAAATGTAAGTTCATATTGTCTATATGTATTACATGTATAAAATATATATATATATATATATATATATATATATATATATATATATATACTACTTAATTGTCATATAACGTATAAAAAAGATACTATAGATAGATAAAATATTTAGTATTTTCTTAAGTATACATAAAGGTAAATATAAATTTATATTGAAATAAAAAATCATTTGCCTAAATACATGACTTCAAAAATGTTTAATGTTAATTCCTTGAAATGTATATTAAGTGCCTACTATATATAAACATCATCCTTAATAAATAAAGAACTTTTTTGCCACATGTCATTCTCTAATGAGTTTTG